GATTAACTTTTCCCCACAATCCCAAACCCCTTGCCTACGCTTTTCTTTTCTTTATAAAAAGGGCCGTTTTTTTAATGGAATTTAAGATGATCTGTTAGGGTACAAGCTTGTCATCTTCTCAGATTGCCAGCCTTCTGAATAAAGTGCTCATAAAGATTCATTTCCTGTCTCTGCTTATTGGATCTGGTAGGTGATAGGCAGCCTAAACACTGGCTTTTCTAGTTTCACTGTGATGGGCTGGAATATGTGGAGACAAAGAGAAGCACAAAGACCGAGCCCAGACTGCTCAGAATGACTCAAAAAGAGCTGTCCTTGTGTTGACGGGAGAGACCTGGTTCTTCTTGCTGATGCATGTCAAGAACTACAGATCAACAAATCTAGTAGTATGTCATCAGTTTATTAGTATCCCGTTCCCATGGAAGAGAGCAGGACTTGGTAGAATAGGGGGTGAAAGGCAAAGTTTCAGGGCAAAGCAGGGCGACAAAAGCAAGAGCAGCTTAAGGCCAGGGTGGCAAGCCCCCGGGTGGCCAGAGGCCCAATGGCTGGAGAGCCAAGAGCACTCAAAGCCCCTGAGAGAGCGAGTGAGTCCTTTGTCCTGAGGACTCATATAGTTGGTGGAATAGGAGGAAAAAAGTTACATATTGATTAATGGGTAAATGTGCCAGCTTCCCTGGGGGATGTGTCTACCCAAACTTAGGTATATGTGGGGGTCTGTTAGCTCGAATCCTTATCTTGCTCCAGACCCCATTTGTTCATCTTGTTGTAAAACAAATACGTGACAGGAGGCAGTTAATTAAAATTGGGGCACTTTCCCAAAATTATTTATGGGCTCTTTCTATAAGCATCAGGGACTCCCTTGTAAAACGGATAGTGACCAGAGGTAGGCAATTAACCAAAGTTGTTTTATGGGCTGTTCTTTGGGCACCAGGGACCCTCTCCCACATTCCAGTCCCTGGGATGAAAGCACAGTTTGAAGGCTTTCTTTCCCAGACAGTGGAAATGCTACACAGAACTTCAAGGATTTCCCTTCTTTCTTGCTAACACATTGTTTTTTGTGATGTTGGAACACCTGGCAATATTGTCAGACCAGGCTCAGGACTGCTGAGTTAGCATGTGAGACATGTCTTCTTCCTCGCCCCTGCCTCAGTTTACTATTTATTCTGCCTAAGTCGTAAAAGGCATTTCCTGACAACCAGGGTGCTAGACGCTGGCCAGTAACAGCAGTGCAGTCTCAGAGTTCTTCCTGTGCTGTCTCCTGCCTCACTTGGGGCACAGCCTTAATCCTCCAAAAGGGGGTTTTACTAACTTAATGCTGATAGTCTCTTTGTTTCCACCTCTTTTTCCACTGCTCTGTTGGAAGCTGAAGAAACCTTGAGAAGTTGGAAGAAGGAAATGCAGGAGTCTGATGACGCCTTGGAGCCCAGCCCCTGGACTGCACATTGTGTTTCTCAGCTTGGCACCTGTGCAGAGCACTGTGAACTCCCCTCCCCTTCGCCCGGGCAACTCTTTCACACGTGACCACTCATTGAAAGGACAAAGCCAGTCCCTTTTGCCGTTGTGGTACCATTTGCCTAGAAGGCCTACGACCTTGTTAAACATGACTGCTGTTTTACTCTTCTGAGCTTGTGTCCCCAGAACTGGAAATTACTGGAAAGCAAGAACAGAACTAACTGGCTCCCTATAGCCACTGGCAGAACAAACTGCAGCCTCATGATACAATGTCCCAACAGCCCAGGGGTCACACAACAGCAACCCCCACCCCTCTTTAATCCAATTATAATCCAATAAAAGCTCAAAGCTCCCCCCCAACAACCAAGGCTGATATATCTCCCTACACCTGTCCCTCTCCTTTCATGGTGAATAAAAACTATTTTCTACACTTTCTTCTCGTCAGTTCTTTCACAGCCCACATCACTGACCACCTTAACACTCATCTCATTCCTCTCACTAATCGGAACCCACCGGTCTCCCCCAGATCCACCCACCATGCTGTTCACTATTCACCCCAGAGAAGCCTCACACCCTCATTTCAATGAACTCACGTGAGCGGCCACCACCGCCCGGCTCCCAGAAGAGCTTCTCCTGGGCCCGCCCTGCACCACCACCTCTTCTCTCACCTCCTGTTGGGCATCGTCCCATCTCACCAGCTGCTCCCACAGGCCGTCCTGCCCTCCGAGACCCCAGCGCCTCCATTTCTCTCTCACCGGCAGGCACAGGCTGCACAGCTGAGCTGCCCTGGTCCGGTTCTGTGCCCACCTGAGTGATGAATGTCAGAAAATCTTCCCCTTCCCTCTGCCTGAGACATGGGCACAATGGGATGGAGTTTGGGTAGATGGATTGGGAAGTTTCAAAGGAAGCTTCAGTTCTGGAAACTGGGGAAGAAGCCTGAGAAAACCTGATCCTCAGGAAGCAGTGGGGCTGGCTTTATGGGTGATGGAGAGGCTGGGAATTTTAACATAAGCGACTTCACTGTTCTGTTCCCTGTTCTATCATGCATGGGCTTGGTGGGAAATTGGGGCTAAGAGAGGCCATGTCCTGTTTCTCACTTCCTCTCTGGCCCTACCCGGATATGCTCTGATCGGTTCCTGACGTGGCAACTGTCAGCTGCAGCAGGTACCCTGTCCCGCCTCAACCTCGGCCCGTCCTCACGCCCTCCTCTGCTCCTCTGGACTGACTGTGGCATGGGCCCCGCCCTGCTCTGTGGAAGGGTGTCTACCTGGAGCCCTGGCTGCACAGCACCGTCCTGGGACCCTGGACACGGCCGAGTGACCGTGGCTTCCCCTTTCAGATCTTTGATGTTGAAATGTCATCGTGACCCCTCCATGAGAACTTTGTCCCTCCAAAATCCATCCAGACCACCGGGTACCCTTGTGTCCAACAGACACAATCTCCTTCTTTCTCTGGTGGGAACCGTGGCCCTGGACGATGTCGGACCCCAAGGCCTCTCTGTGAGTGGGGCCCACGTGGGAAAGCCCCAGGGGCCACTCCCCGGAGCCGGGCCTCCCAGAGCAGCAGCTCTGCTCTTGTGTGGGGGGTCTCTGCCCTGAGCCAAAGGGGAGCTCAGCATCACCAAGGACATCATCAGGGCTGCCATCCAGGGGCTGCCAGGGACCTGCAGGACCAGCATTCTGGAGCCTGGGAAAGGCCGGGTCTGCGAGAATCGCAGTCAGAGCAGCTCTCACTCCACGGGCCTCCCTCCTGAAACGTTAGAGATGATGAGCCAGGGCAGCCTCCTGCTTCCCCTGGGTGTGGCTGGATTCCAAAATAGGAACCAGTTCGTAGGAAATGTCCTCACTCTCCAGGCAGAGGGTGGATGTAAAGCATATGACCCCTGAAGGTGTCAGATTCCCTGACAGCAGTGTGAGAAAAGGGGTCCTCGTCTTGATGGACTGGGTGAGTCAGGAGGGTCCGTGTTCTGTGTTTTCCTCGCTGTGGTGCAGACACCAGGCATGTCTCCCCCTCCACGGTGAATGCCACCCCCTACCATGGCTGCGTCCGGGGAATGAGCATGTCCTGTGAAGTGTGTTAAAGGTCCAGGGGAATTAGACTTCCTCCTTCAAAACTTTGAGGACTATCCTTTCTTTGCATTTCAATATTTTTTGGTAATTTTTAAATACCAAAATTAATTCTCCCAAACACTTGGTTCCTGATATGTGGTAAATACACTCTTGCTTAAATGCAAGAACTAAGAGACAAAAATGACACAATAAATATATGCTTCCCCCCCAAAATTAAATACTTAAAAATGTGAATAAATTAAACAAAAACATTTAAAATTATGTAAATGGATTTTTCTATTTAAGTAAGGATGCATTATAGGAAGGTAATCACACGGGTTTAGAGTGACATTTCCTGGCTGCGAAGCCCCTTTTTGCTGCTTCCTGACTTCCTGACCATGGACCAGTTATTTCACCGTCTGTGACTTAGTTTCCTCTTGTGTAGAATGGAGATTATTGAGGAAGCCAGGGCACTGGTTTACTCGTAAATCTGATTGAGATCACACTCAGTATCTGTGAATCTCTAAAACAGAGCCTTGCACATAGCAAGGCATCAAGAAATGTTAACTATTATAATGCAAGACTAGTTCGAAACAGAAAAACAACTGAATAAATATAAAATAATTAATTTTAGTAATATAAGTTCTATCATTTTACTAACAATACCAGAGGCTTTTACTACAGTTCTACACAATTTTATAATAAAGGCAATAATTTGTGAAATAAAGAGTGAATTTTATTTTATTTTTAAAATATTTTATTTATTTATTTTTAGAGAGAGAAGAAGAAAGAGAGGAAGAGAAACATTGAGGTGAGAAAGAAATATTAATTAGTTGTCTTTCACATGGCTCCCACTGGGGACCAAACTTGCAACCCAGGCATGTGCCCTGATGGGGAATCAAACCAGTGGCCTTTTGCTTTGCAGCATTTTGCCCAACCCACTGAGCCACACCAGCCAGGGCACAAAGAATAAATTTTACACTCAGTGGAAAAATATTACAGAAACTCGTAAAGATGACAAAAATGACAAAGATGACAAAAATTTCAAGGAGAAATTAAAAATATTACTTAGAAATGAAATAATTAAAAAATTACATTCTGATCACGTGTCTGGAAAAATCAAATTATATTCAGATTTCTCTGAAATTATCAAAGGTATAAAATGTTAAATATAATATTATTTGATAATGATAAAGTAAATTCCTTTAATACTAAGAATCATGATGAAATTATGAAGATAATTATCCATTCGGAAAAGTCACTACAAATAAAACTCCAAGCATCCCCTTGAAGAACACAGATCACGGTGTCTCCTCCCAGTGCTCCTCCTCTTACCCCTGCCCACACGCAGGTCCTGACGGCCCGCCCACCTCCCTCCCAGTGGGGCCCGCACAGTCTTTCCCCTCAGATGCCCCTCCCTGCGTTGTCTGGTTGGCTGAGCCCCGTCCAGCCGTCCCACCTCCCCCTTCTCCCTCCACAGGGGAGGGGAGTGAGCACACGAGTCAGGTCCTCCCGCCCCGCACGGCCTCCTTTCCTCCTCACTGCCTGGCTCACCCGCCCCTGCAGATGCAGCTTGAATAGGTAAGGAAAAGAAAACAAAATCGTGCCCTCGTCCCTGAGTGATGAGGGTTGAATGAAGCCACGCATGCTCTTGGTTACAAGGGTCGTGGTTGATTTGCCACGTCCCACGGACACACTCACTTCCTGCAGACCCCGCGATGCTTATCTCTGGGTCGGTGACACAGAATCTGAGCCTTCGGCCTCCACCAGTCTCGGAAATGGGGGAGCTGGTCCCAGATGCAGGACGTCATCTGGGAGGGGAGATGCGGGAGGGGAGCACAGGCACTGATGGGGGCAGAGGACACAGGGGCACCTTCGGGTGTCAGATCTGCTGAGCGCTCAGCCTGTGCCTGGGGAGGGAACACTCCAAGCCAACGATTTTCAGCTTTTTTCATCTCATGCACACACAAACTAATTGCTAAAATTCCGTGGCACACCAAAAAGAATGTTCTATTTCTGCCGATCTGACAAAAGATGAGTATAATTTTCATTCACTCACACACGATGGCTAGCGTTGTGTTGGCTGTTGTCACTTTTAATTTGACAGCCTGAGGGAAAAGAGGTCAGTGCCCCTGACTAAACAGTCAGGTAGCGCATGTTTTAAAACTCGTGCGGCGCACTGGATAAAATCGCCGTCTCAGAGCGCCCCCTGCAGGTCAGCCTCTTCTCCATCCTGCCTGACTGTCCTCTCCGTGGCTCCAGTTGCTCCCAGACACCTCTGCCCTCGGAGTGGGAAGGAAAGCTTTACTCGCCCTGCACCTGGATCCTTCCTCCTCCTTGGAGTCCTTTTCAGGTAGGCGTGTCTTCAAAAGATTCCTGAGTCGTTTGCATTCTGAGTTCAGTGTTCATTCTTTCACTTCACAAATTTGATGTATTTCTCAGAAATGTTGATGACCCACGGAGTGTTTTTCAGATTGTCAGCCTTCCCCAGCTCATGGTTCAGGAGTGGGATGCCCCCTCCCCCGCCCCATTGATCCCTTTGCCCCTCAGTCTCTGTGATCCTCTCCCTGCCCATCCTTGCTGTTCCCCCCCCCCCAGTGGTTCCTCAGCGACATGGCCCCAGGAAGCTGCAGCCACAGGGCTAGAGAGCAAAGGGATGGGGAGAGTGTAACATTTGGAAATGTGGATTTATCTTGCTGTTGATGTTTAAATGATCCACGCATCTCACTTTGGGTTGTGGCAGTAGGCCACCTGGAGCCAACCATGGCACTAAGGTCAGTGAGTACAGGTGTGGTTCTCCTGGAATTACCGCTAACGCTGCCTTCGGTTGTACCAGCCCTGGGTCCAGTCGCTTCCCACACCCCATCTGGACCCCTCCTCTCACAATGGGAAGCAGACGGCCTTCCAGCTGGGCTCCTGCTGCCCCTCATGCCCGTCACCCACATGACAGACACAGTGGCCTTCCCACTGTGAATCAGGGCGTGTCCTCACCACCGCCTCCCACACAACACTCCAGTGTCCCCCTCCTTGGGCAGAGTGAGCTCCCCACCCCTCACTGATGCCTGCCAGCCCCTCAGGACAGGGGCCCCTGACCGTCCGGCCTCTTCCCACCACTCTCAGCCCGGCTCACGGGTCCTGCTCACCTGGCCTCTGGACACTGCCCGTCCTCACGCAGGCGCCCGCCCTGCCGTGACTCCCTGTGGGCCCCTCCTCTCCAGGGACCACATGGCTGCTCCTCACTCCACCCAGGTGCTCAAGTGTTCAGGGTCACGTCCCCAGGGACGTCCTGTCCAACAAACTGAGAATATGCTCTGCCGTCCTGCACCCCCAATCCAGCCCATGCATGTTTTTCTCCACAGCAGTTATCACTGATCTTAGAACAAATCTTGCTTATTGTGAGTGTCACTGAAATACATGCTCAGTGAGCAGGGGCCTCGTCTGGCTCCTCACCACCGCATCCCCCGCATTGGCTCCAGCTCGCAGAGGGGCTCAGTGGGTCTGTGTTCAGTGAGTGGATGTGTCAGTGCAGCGACTGAGAGAAGCAGTTTGACCCTGTGTGTGAAGAGGCGTGAAATGGTCAAATGCTTTGGCCTAATATTGGCCATTTGAGTAGCCTGTCAGTTTAAAAATCCCAAGCAGAGAAAAATCTTTATGCACAACAATGCTTATCAAATCATTGTTTATGGGAAGAAGAGCTGAAAGCAGATGGATAGAAAAAGAACCTTCTTGTATCATGTTGTTCGAAATGGTATGAAGCTTGCAAAAGTGTTATAAATTCATGCAGCGTTTGTAACACGGTAAACCTCTTGTATAATAACACATTTCAGAAATAGTCCATATTCAGAAATAAATAGTCCATATCATATGAATGCAGCACTCCTTTTGTAAAAAAAATATTTGTTTATTTTTAGAGAGAGAGGAAGAGAGGGAGAGAAACATCAGTTGGTTGCCTCTCATACACCACAACCTGGGCGTGTGCCCTCACCTGGAATCAACCACCAACCTTTTGGTTTGTGGGATGACACCCAGCCCGCCAAGCCACACCAGCCAGGGCTGAATGCAACTTTCTAAAACGAACACAAACATGTACATACACCTATATTATATATAACATAGAATAATATATTTCTAAAGTATTGTGTATAACATTTCAATATATATATTTTTAATTTTATTTTTCGATTACAGTTGATGTTCAATATTATTTGCATTTGTGACAGGTGTACAGCATGGCGGTTAGACAATCACATCACTTCCCCAGTGTGTTTCCCTCCACGTTTCGAGTCCCACCTGCACCACACAGTCATCCCGTGTTACTGACGTGTTCCCTGTGCTGCGCTCACAGAAAACCACAGAGTGGCAACCGGGACCCCACACCGGGCGGCCCCAGGGAGCGCCACCCACGCTGGGGTCCATGAGCTCCCCACGGCGGAATGGTTAGCGGTGATTTTTGAGGGGGGGGCCATATTTCTGTATTTTGTCTGTGCATTTTAAAGTCCTCTGTAGTGAAAAGACTTTTTATTTTTTTATATGAAAAACATTTTAAATTTCAAAACACAACATGTGAAGTAGACATTTTGTGCCAACCGCACACAGAATCTCTCAGCTGGACTCCGGAGAACAGAGATCCCTGCTGCTGGCTCCTCAGAAGAAACGAACTCTGCGTCCGCAGCCCACCACCCACCCTCGGGCCGCGGAGCGCAGAGGAGCAGCGGAGGCAGCGCCGAGAAGGCCGTCAGCGTGCGGGTGTCTGACTGTGCGGCCTGTGTCCACGCAGGCAGTGCTGGCCTTGAGACTTGGAGGAGCCTGGGGAGCCCACCTGGGAGTGAGCCGTGTGCGCGGAGACCCCACACGTGGGAAACGCAGCTGGGGTCCCGGGATGGGTCCCACTCGCAGTGCGTCCTCGTCCGTGGAACCTGGTGAAGGGTGGGCCCAGGGAAGAGTTCCCACCTTTCTCTGGTTTGGGGGGAGGTGGGTGAGTCTTCAGGGACCAGCGAGGTACGGGTGCCTGGCGCTCCTAGAGCCATCTCCAGTTCCTCCGCTGAGGACCCTCCTGCAAGACCCAAAACTACATGTTATTTGCAACCAAGTTTTCTTCACTAAGGCAGGCATGACACCCCTCGCATCAAGGCTAATCATGTCATTCTCAATGACTCTTACTAATTAAGGTTCTAACTTGCACTGAAGCTCCTAACTTGCACTGAAAATTTGCCTCAGACTTGCACCTGAGTATTTGGATTCAAGGCAGAAAGTCATTTTGGGGTTTAGACCTTGTTTATGTAGAGGATGTTCTGAAAGATACCTTTTTCCAGGTGGAAGAGTGAGGGGAGCTCTGAGGGGCAGATGAAGTCCTGGTGGGCGCAGACAGATGGGCCAATTCTAAAGCAGCCCTGACTTTACCACATAAAAGTTTTTGGAATATATTCCCAAGCCTTAAAAAAAATTAATGTAAAACATATGTAACATAAAATTTACCATTTTTACCACTTTAAGTGTACAATTCATTGACGCCCAGTACATACGCAACACGGGGTGCTGAGCAGCCATCACCCAGCCCAGTTCCAGAGCAACTTCATCCCCAAAGAAGGAAATTGTTTGCCCATCAATGGGTCACACCCCCACCCCAGCCCTGGAACCACTAACCGGCTTCCTGTCTCTATTTGCCTCTTCCAGATATTTTATATAAATGGAATCATTTCACTTATCGAAATATCTTCATTGTTCATCCATATTATAGTATATATGAGTACTTCATTCTTTTTGTGGCCAAATAATATTCCATCTTATGACTACACAACCATTTCTTTATTCATGCATCAGCTGATGGGCATTTGAGCATGATATTTTCTTTTAAGTCATATAGGAGAGAAAACTTACCAAAATAACAAAAAAGCATAATGCTGGCTTTTTTATTGAGCTGCACGTAGTTACATTTACCAGTGTTCTTTATTTCTCCATCTAGCTTGAAGTTACTTCCTAGTGTTATTTCAGCTTAAATGGATCCTTTCATCATTACATGTAGGTGAGGACAACTAGCGATGAAGTTCCTCAGCTTTTGTCCATCTGGGAATGTCTTTTTTTTTTTACTAAGAATCACTAGAGTTTTATTTTATTTTTATTTTAAGTATATTTTATTAATTATGCTGTTATACTTGTCCCAATTTTTTCCTTTCCCCACCTCCACCCAGTGTCTGCCTTCCCAACAATTCCCTGTCCCCTTAGTTCATGTCCATGCATCATGTGTGCATGTTCTTTGGCTTCTTCATTTCCTATACTATTCTTAATATACACCTGTCTATTTTATTCCTACCATTTATGCTTTGATGTGGACACCGACCCTCAGTGTCCATGTCATTATGGATGAAATGAGACATTCACACATACTACCGAGTCTGGTGGAAGAAAAGGGACAGCATGGCTTTTTCTCTCAAGGGGAGCAAAAGCCACAGCCCTTGCCCCATGTGACCAGCCTTTATTGGGTTTTTCGGCACATTACATGATGGTCCTCATTTACTATGCGTGGGTTGCTTTAGGTGATTACCTTTTACAGAAAACAAAGGAGCCAATGCTGCTAATCACATCACAGAAGAGGGATATTTGCAAATGAAAAGGCAAAAGTGGTTGAACAGGTTATACCCATCCTCAGAAGGTTTAGCATGGATTTTAGGAAGTTATTTTGCAGTAAATGTTTGCCACAAATCTTGGTGAGGGAGTTTTTTTTAGCAAAAAGAAAGACTCGGAGCGACCTAGGCATATTGCAGGCCTGATTCCCCACTTCACAACCTATCTGTAGGCATGGGTCCTGTGCATCTCCGAGTGGGAGCTGGGCCCACGCCACACAGAACGGTCTCCTACACTGCTTCTTGACCCCTGTGCCATTTTCTCCTTGCTTCCCCTTCTTCCTCCCAGCTGATAACACTCAAAATGATCTCCACACCTATGATTCGGTCCGTGTTCTGGTTGTTTGCTTAGTTTGTTTTTGTTTTTATCTTTTAGACTCAGTTGTTGATAGCTGTGAGTTTCTTGTCATTTTACTGTTCATAGTTAACCTTCTTCTTTTTCTTAAATAAGTCCCTTTAACATTTTGTGTAATAATGGCTTAGCAATGATAAATTCTTTTAGCTTTACCTTGTCTGGGGAGCACTTTACCTGCCTTTCCATTCTAAATGATAGCTTTACTAGGTAATCTTGGTTGTAGATCCTTGCTTTTAAAAAAAATATATTTTATTGATTATGCCATTACAGTTGTCCTATTTCTTCCCCTTCATTCCCTTTCACCCTGCACACCCGCTCTCCCCCCATTCTCCCCCTTTCGTTTATGTCCATGTGTCACAGGTTCTTTAGATTCTATATTTCCCATACTATTCTTGCTCTGCCCCCCATCTATTTTCTACTACTGTCTATGCTACTTATTCTCTGTACCTTCTCCCCCCTTCTCCTCCTCCCACTCCTCTGTTGCTAACCCTCCATGTGATCTACATTTCTATGGTTCTGCTCCTGATCTAGCTATCCTCTTAGATTGCTTTTGTTTTAGGTGTGGTTATTAATAATTGTGAGTCTACTGTCCTTTCACTGTTCATCTTTTTTATTTATTTTAACATTTCATATAGTAAGGGCTTGGTGATGATGAACTCCTTGAATTTGATCTTATCTGAGAAGCACTTTATCTGTCCTTCCATTTTAAATGAAAGCTTTGCTGGATAGAGCAATCTTGGATGTAGGTCTTTGGATTTCATGACTTGGAATACTTCTTTCCAGCCCCTTCTTGCCTGCAAGATCTCTTTTGAGAAATCAGCTGATAGTCTGATGGGAACTCCTTTGTAGGTGACTGTCCCCTTATGTCTTGCTGCTTCTAGGATTCTCTCCTTCATTTTAATCTTGGGTAATGTAATTACGATGTGCCTTGGTGTGTTTCTTCTTGAGTCCAACTTCTTTGGGACTCTCCGAGCTTCCTGGATTTCCTGGAAGTCTATTTCCTTTGCCAGATTGGGGAAGTTCTCCTTTATTATTTGCTCAAATAAGTCTTCCACTTGCTGTTCCTCTTCCCCTTCTGGTACCCCTATAATTCGGATGTTGGAACGTTTAAAGATGTCCTGAAGGTTCCTAAGCCTCTCCTCATTTTTTTTTTGAATTCTTGTTTCTTCATTCTTTTCTGTTTGGTCATTTTTTTCTTCCTTCTGGTCCACTCCCTTGATTTGAGTCCCAGTTTCCTTTCCATCACTATTGGTTTCCTGTGCATTTCCCTTCATTTCAATTAGTTTAGCCTTCATTTGTTCCTCTAATTTGTGACTAAAATCAATCAGTTCTGTGAGCATCCTGATCACCAGTGTTCTGAACTGTGCATCTGATAGGTTGGCTGTCTCTTGGTCACTTAGAATTATTGGCTCTGGGGCTTTGAGGTGTTCTTGAGCCATAATGTTTTGGTCTGTTTGCGCCTGTTATGTATGTGGGGTGGAGCCTTAGGTGTTCACCCAGTTGCTGGTTTGTGATGCTGTATGTGGGGGCGGGGTCAGAGAAAAGCAATGGCATTTGTTCTGCTCTCGAATTTTGGTTCCCTCTGCTGCTTCCCGCAAGCAAACCTGGCCCCCCTGGTGCCGGCTCCCAGGTGTGTGGGCCTGTGCACCCTCCAGGACCCTGTGGGTCTCTGAAACAAACTCTCTGTGAGCCTGGGAGCCTCTCCCGGCACCTCGACCCCAAAAGTCTTTCCAATTGGTGCTTTTAGGCTCTAATTCCCATCGCTGGGGCCCTAGCCTGAGCGGTCTGTCTCACTGCTTGCTCCTTCACTTGGTTTATCTGTGTGAGAATGTGTGACCACGGTCAGCCAGCTGCCTTGGGCCCTCACTGGGTCCGCCTGTTGCCAACCCCACACCTGGGATCTGCCAACAGCTGCCTGCATTCTGGGGTTGGTCCAGCCGCTTTTTCCTGCCTGACCCCGCTCCACCAGCCACTGACTCCGCCCCTCTTACCAATCTGGCTGAATGGTTTGTTGTTGTTGGACTTCTGTACAGTTCAATTTTCTGTGTTTTGGCTGTGTTTTTGTTACTAAAACTTTGTTGTCTTTAAACTTGGTTGTGCAAGGAAGCACAATATTTACACCTACGCCTCCATCTTGGCTAAAAGTTAGGTCCTTGTTTTTCATCACTTTGAATATTTCTTGCCAGCTCCATTTTGACTGCAAACTTTCTTTTGAGAAATCAGTTGACAGTCTTATGAGAACGCCTTTGTAGGTAACTCTCTCCTTTTTTCTTGCTGCCTGTAGGATTCTCTCTTTATCTTTAACCTATGGCATTTTGATTCTGATGTGTCTTGATGTGGTTCTCTTTGGGCACAACTTGATTAGGACTCTCTGTGCTTCCTGGACTTGCATGTTTATTTCCTTCACCAATTAGGGAAGTTTTCTTTCATTAAGTTTTTAAATAGATTTCCAATTTCTTGCTCTTTCTCTTCTCCTTCTGACACCCCTGTGATGCGAATGTT